TTTGAATATCTAGTTTCTCCCTAAAAAGGGTGACTCCTCTGTTGTCACAGGAGGGCAAAGCAAAGGGCCCAGGACTCACTTCTGTCACAAGTACCTGGGGCAACGCAAGAGAACGGCAGCCCTGAACGCCTTGGAAAAGAGACGTSCTCTTATGTCTCTTTACGTCTCTTACAAACAGATTCGGGATGTTAGAAATAACGTCTGCTTGAGGGCACAAGAGAAGGGCCAGAAACAATGCTCGTCTTTCCAGACCAAGGACCAGCACAGATTAGGGACTGATCTGCTGGAAASCAGCTCCACGGAGAGGGACCTGGGAGTCCTGGTTGATACCAAGTCAACCATGAGTCAGCAGTGTGCTCTCRTGGCCAAGAAGGCCAATGGGATCCTGGCCTTCTTGGCCAGTATCAGGAGGAGTGTTGCCAGCAGGTCAAGGGAGGTGATTCTGCCCCTCTGCTCTGCTCTGGTGAGGCCGCACCTGGAGTAATGTGTGCAGTTCTGGGCTCCCCCRTAGAAGAGGGACGTGGAGCTTCTTGAGAGGGTCCAGCGGAGAGCAACAAAGATGATTAAGGGACTGGAGCATCTCTCATATGAAGAGAGACTGAGTGAGTTGGGCCTGTTTTCTCTGGAGAAGAGAAGACTGAGAGGAGATCTGATTAACATGTAAAAGTTCATGAAGGGGGAATGTAGGGAGGAAGGGGCCAAACTCTTCTCATTGGTGGCCAGTGATAGGACAAGGGGCAATGGGTATAAGTTGAAACACAGGAAGTTCCCATCTCCATGTGAGGAGGAACTTCTTCACTGTGAGGGCRACAGAGCCCTGGAACAGGCTGCCCAGGGAGGTTGTGGAGCCACAACACACATTTTGTCACATTTAGGAGCCTTTCTAACTGCAAGTCMCTTTTGGCATCACATTCACAAACATTCTTTGACAATTCCACATGACTAATGCAGGCCCTTAAAGTCAAGAAATATAACATCACAGGAAACAAAACTGTAGAAAATGCTCTGATGTTGCTAAAGCACTCCAGAATTAAAGATACTGTAATTTTTACTCATATTAGTATCACAAATGCAACACAAACTAAAGACTCAGCGACAATTAGGACCCCATAATGTCAAGCATATAGAAGGAGTTAATATCCCAGGCTGCTCATCATCTATCTACACGACGCACACAAAGTGCAACTATCATTTTGCAGATGGAAAGCAGAAGGAGGAAGCAGATTGCCAAGGGCTTTCAGAAACCTGCTCAAGGAAATCTATGACAAAAACATGACATAAACCATTGCTGCTGGAAATGCTCTTTGGTGCCAGCACACCACTGTATTAATCCCATTACTTTCATATTGTATCAGGTAACTTTTCAGACACAACATAGATGCTGGATGGTAGGGGAAAATTATTATATATGCAGYATTTCCTAACAAAGCGAAAAGACATGAATCTGACCAAATTCTTCAGTCAGATGCTAAGATCTGGACTTGGTTTCATATTCTATCACAGTCTTCCTGTCTAAACTTACACACTGATCCAAAGGACCTGTTTGTGTACTTAACTAAGGCTGTGCAAAGCTGAAAAATTAACAGGTGATTTACAGTACCAAAGTTAGACACTAAGGCGCCTTATGTAGTCAGAAAGGACAATTAGGTACTTCTGAAGGGTAATCCAAAAATCCTGCTCCAACTGGAGTGCAGCCAAGAACTTCCTTAAGGGGGAAAAGAAAAGATATGCTTAAACTAGAGATTCTTTTTAAACTGTTCCCSCCATGAGGCTCCCCCTTGACCTCTGCTGCACCTGAACTTGGGTTTGTCCACGAAGGCATCATGATACATTTGGGAATCGGACCACAAGGCCTGCAAAGTTACCRCATAACAGCCTGATAGAGCATGAATGCAAAGGTGTAAAACTCTATTATACTCTTCCATGTTGAGATTATAGTTGCTSTTTCCCACTTCTCAGGAACACACGGTGCCATCAGGCTATCTAACTATTTTAGCTATATATTCATAGCTATAAATAGAAGCTATTTTGTGAGCACATCTACCTTGAGGATACAAAAATCGTAACATCTTGAGGATGAATGGAGAAGACTCTAATGTTTGGCTTAGGGTCTGCAGTAGGTGTCCACTTTGGTTCTCTGCAGCCTTTGGCCAATGCCAGCCCTTCCTGGGCTCCTCTTTGCTGGAAATTCTCAAGATATGAATACMGAGTGAGCAGGCAATGCTCAGCATTTCTGTTCTTGCTCAACAAATTTAGCCCATACGGAAAACATGGAACTGTGTTTGTGCTGAGGGGCTGCATTGCACTTGCAGGTCAGTTGGCAGGAGCATTGCAGGAAGCTCCCTGGCCTATGAAGCCATCAAGGTTAAGTCCTACTAGGAAAATCGCTGGATAAATAAAGGACAAAATGCATCCTGAAGACAAGGACTGGAATACAAGTCTTTCAAGGCTTGACTGCTTAAACCAATTACTCTCTTTCCCCTCCTCCCTCCTTCCCCCTGGCTCTTGTAACTGTTCAATGTCCAACTTAAACTGCATTAAATTACAGCTTTATTTTTTCCTGACAAGGTAATACTTGCAGTTTTAAGGATGTGGGAAATACAGCTGTGAGCCTCCTGCACTGGAAAAGGGACCTGAACGCAGATTGGCCATATCTTAAATAGCTGTTTAGTTATTAATATAGAAAATGGGCTCCTTTGGGGCATATTTTTGACAGAAAGTGTCTGAGTATTTTGGTTTGTGCTGGATCCAGCACTCCAGCTAGGCCAGGCTCCTCTGGGGATCCGAGTGCCTCCTGTGTTCATCTGAACGGAGTCAGCTCAAGGCCCAGCTCCCTTTCCAGGCACGGGCATTGCTTCAGCACAGGTATTTGTGCCTCGTTTCAGGGTGCCACATTCATTGCACGTGGGGCAATTGCTCCCAGAAATTGAGCAGCTCTTGGAAAGCAGCATTTCTGGATTGTTTCTTTGCACCCAAGTGCCTTCATTTTCCCTAAATCCCATTTTAGCTGGCGAAATGGATGTTCTGGATGTCTCTCAGGATGGCTCTGTAACTCAGCTTGTTAAAGCAGACGCAGAGGAGAATGTTAAAGCAGACGCAGAGGATAAACATTAAGCACAGGGAGATCATAATAAGATCACATAAATATGACAGAAATAATTTCAAGATGAATCTTGGGCATATCCAGAGTTACATTGACATAAAAGGAAGTTATACAGTAGTCAGATAAAACAGTTTTAAGACTTGACATTTATGTTTCCTTTTTCCCAAATGTTTTATAGACCATAGGCAGAAATCACTTTACCCACTATCTATGGGCTTCTTTTGAAAATACTATCACCAAAGACCACATAAGCACTGGAACTGCACTGAAATTGTGATTATAAACTTTTTCTGATGGCTGTTCTAATCTGGGAGTTAGACAGGCTGCCTGGCACCAACAGTGAGATATGCAGAAGCAGCACAGTTCAGGCAAGAGATTCATTTAATTTGATTTCATGAAGTCTGTTATATCGAAAGCCAGCTTCGGATAGCCTTATCTAAGCTATCTAATATCAGTAAGAGTACACAGCACCTTGTTATATCTCCGTATTCCTCATTCACATTCTCTCTGAAGTTATCCAGCAGAAKTGTAGCTTGCCACAGACTAGAGCTATCAGTTTTATTGCCATCTATCCGTTTTTTTTGCCTATTTCTGTTCTGATGGTTATATTTATCTCTGGTTAGTTACAGTGGTAGGAGGTTTGGGAGGTCAAGTTTGTTTTATAAAAAATTTTCAAGTTCAACCTGGAATAGGAATGGATTTTTCCACATCTTCACAAAAAAAAAAAAAGGCTTCAAAATATCTCTTTTCAGATTTAAGGGATGAAAAAACAAATGTCTGTGAGAGCTGCCTGGCATGGGAGACCTGTCTTCACTTCTCCACTACTCTTATTCAAATTAGAAATTCTTGTAACAAAAATTCTGACAAATTAATAGGAACTTGAAGCCAGTTTCTATTTCCTATACCACAAGCTAGGATACTAATGGCTCCTGTTACAGGTTACTCCTGTAACCTTCTTAGGAGAGATGTTATTAATATATATGGATATGGATATGGATATGGATATGGATATGGATATGGATATAAATATAAATCAAATTATTAAAACTATGTTAAAAAGCTTATTGAAAATATGAACAGGTTGATTTGGTTAACATTCTTTACTTGAAAAAAATAAAGTTATCAGTTATCATTTGTTATTTGGAGTTATCATTTGATTATTTGGCTATAATACAGAATGCTAGAGGTCCAAAATGACTTGGTCCAAATCAGTTGCTGTCAATTCCCAGCTCCCCACATTTTGCCATTTTAAGGAAAAGGCTAAATAAAATGATAGCTCGTAGTGTGAAGCACTAGGCGCTCAGGCCACATTGCTCTTTGCATTCATATGACAGTTCACATAAATATATAAAACATAGCTTTACAAAYTGATTTAAAGGATATTTTCCCTAGGAGAAAAGGTGCACTGTAAACAGCTCTATTATCTAACTCACCACTTAAGATTCACACGTGTCCATAAAGCAGGTGTTAAGTAGACCTTGTATTGATCTCTTCAAAGAGGAGTGATTTTTACTGCCAGAACAGACACACACGCTATAAAGATACCTAAAATCTTTAATTTTCTGCATCAAGACAAGAGGCTGGAAAATTATAAACCTGCCATTTGTTGCTGTTTCATGCTTGATTTCATTAGCTGGTTTTAAAGACTTCAAGAATCCGGCCCACGGTTTCATCTCTGAACCTGTCACCATTAAATATTATATTTGGCAAAGCTACTAGCAGGCATATCTATATATCCTATAGTCTGAACTGCTCTGAGAGAACTCAAATACTCAGGAAACCCATCAGAGCACAATGAAATGGATTATGAACTACACAAAAATACAGATTTGAAACTACAAATTGTTCTTGAGTGCAAAGCAGTTGGTTTTAAGAGAATATTTGGAACATGCCTTACCTGTGTAGTGCACCACGCATGTCTGACCCTTCTTCGGAAATGTCCGTCCTGTTAAAATTGTAAGAGGTTATTCTTTTATTTTCTCTGATCAGTCAGTATGGCTAGGCATTTTTAAGAAGAAAACAGCAGATTTTGTGTTGAGTTATATTTATCCAAATCAACATGCAGGACTGTAATGGGTATGGTTTAGGGTAGAAGATTCCAGTTAGTCTCCTATTTAGCTGCATGACAAAATAATACTTCCCTAAGAGTTATATATATGTACACACATACACATATAAACCCATACACTATATATAAATACATACACACGTATCACGTATGCATTTACATCTGTAAAAAAAGGACTTGTTTCTAGGTTTATAACCTTAAAATTTTCAAAATATTTTTGCTAAAATTTTTCAAATAAAATTATATTTTGACATTGTAAAACATTCCGTTTCTACACATGCTTTTAATGCCCTTCCCTCAAGAAAACTCTAAAAAGGACATATCTAATCAGCAAAGAAGAGCCTTCAAAGTTATAATATACAAAAGTAGTTTAATTTTATAGTATTCAGGCAACAGTAAAGCAGTGATGCAGTGACTTTCTGTAAAAGCCTCGTAGATCCCCTTAAAATTGYGATACTGAAAGGAAAAGGCTTCAATTGTTTTTTTGCCACTGAGAAATGGAATTCCCATTTCCATTTTCCCTGCTCTAGATCCTGCCAAAAGCACTAAAAGCTCGGAGGAGATTTTCCAGATGAATCTAGGTGCCAAGGAATGGCCTATCAAAGCAGCTGTGATTTCTGAAGCAATGCTGGCTAGCAGAGGGCCCAAGCTCAACACAACTTCATAGAATGGGTGAGACTAATTATTAACAAACTTCCTTGCCAAAAAAAGCATGAAACCGGGGATTCAGCTAGTTTATCTCCTACTCAGCTCCCTGGCTGCTATAGAATGAATTAGCACAATAGCATGCTATGCATTAGAGAGTATAAGACTTCACATAGCACGTAAGCTTATATGGCCAAAACACCATGCAAGATGAAGGCAATCTGGTGCATGTAGCAAGTGACATGAAATTGAAAGATGATGCTTCCGTGTGTCCTCTATACAGCCCTTTCACCTCCTGTGGATAGCTGGAATCTCTAACTGTGAGGAGAACAAAGCATGAAATGCAGGTCAGGACACCACTCAACTTTAGCCATATCAAACACATATTCTACACTCATCTACTGGGCTGCTTCTGTTGAAAATGGGAAGATGGATGGAAGTGGCTTAAAAACTGGAGAGCAACTCTGCAGAGAAGGACCTGGGGGTCCTTKTGGTCATGAGCTGGTGGACTTGCCCTCATGGCCAAGGCCACCAGCATCCAGGGCTGTGTTAGGAAGAGTGTTGCCCATAGGTTGGCGGAACTGATCCCTCCTCTCTGCTCAGCCCTGGTGAGGCCACATTGGGAGTGCTGGGTTCAATGCTGGGCTCCTCACTGGATTTACTGGAGCCAGTCCAGGAAAGGGCCACAAAAATGATTAAGGGACTGCAGCATCTCTCATATGTTCAGCCTGGAGAAGACTGCGGGATGGGGAGAGGGGACAATGTTATCAATACATTTAAATATATGGAGAGGGGGTGTAAAGAGGATGGGGTCTGACTCTTCTCAGTGGTACCTGATGACAGGACAAGAGGCAAAGGGGCACAAATTGAAACATTAAAATCCACTTGGGCACAARAAAGGACTTGTTTGCTGTGAGGTTAACAGGATACTGGAAGAGGTTGCCCAGAGAAATCTCCAACCTTGAAGATACAAAAAAAGCCACCCAGGACACTAGGACAGTCCTGTGCAACATGATCCTTCTTGAGTAGGGAGGTTGGAGCAGATCATCTCCAGGAGGTTCCTTCCAGCCCAAACTATTCTGTGGTTCTATGAAATGCTCTGAGAGAAATCCAGCCTACCCCAAGAGGCAAGACTATGCTTGGGACATGACAACAACAGAGATGTCTGCTTTCAAGTAGGCACCTAACCTGAGAAAAACTTATGTAAGATGGATCCTACCCTTGGTAAAACAGGTCTTATTCAAACGATAAACTGTTAATATAGAGAGCACAGAAAAGAAATATCAGCCCTCAGTGACACATAATCCACCATGTGAGCGCAACAGCAGCAGAGTCACAGAGGCTGCATAAATCCCCATCRCTGCCGAACTAGGAACGGGGATTCTCAAGACCGCTGCCCGGCTGTGGCTTTACAAGAACGTCTCAAACCAGCTGATTTTGATTAAGACTTGCAAGCGAAAGAAACAAACCCACAGCACTGCTGCTGGTCACTGCACTGAGCGCCTGCAGACACTGAACAGCGACCGGCAGCAGCGTGAGGATGGAGCCCTGCTTCCCGCGCTGCACTACGCGCTACCCCGCGGCAGCGCCCGGGCTTTGCGCCTGCCGGAGGCAGCAGATCCACGGAGCCGAAGGGCGCGGGGGGAGAGGCCAATGCGACCCCCTCCACGAGGAGGACAAGGACCCCGCACCAGGATGCTCAAGCTGCCGGTGACTTGGGCCAGGGATGCGGACTGGCTCCGTGGCCAGGGATGCAGGCTGGCCCCTTGGCCAAGGATGCGGGCTGGCCCCGTGGCCAGGATGTGGGCTGGCCCCTTGGCCAGGGATGCGGGCTGGCCCCGTGGCCAGGGATGCGGGCTGGCCCC